TGATAGGTTTTTGTCCAGAAGTCCCTAGTGGGATCGAACTTCATGGTTTCCTGCGGCTGGGAAATTGGGCGATCTTCCCCCTGTAGCTGACATGCACTGCAGCGCCGCGACCTGACATTAAAGTTGCGTGGTCACGGCAAGGGCCATCGAGCCACCGCGAGTGGAACCACACAGGCACAAGCACGGGTCAGTGGACTGGTAGCGGGAGAACAGAGAGCGGACGTCGGTGAGATCACTGCGGCGACGTCACCCGAGCTGGGATCCGGGTATCGATAGGGCGGGAAAATCCGAGCCCCTGATTGGACGGGAGGCCAAGGGACCGAAAGAGCGAAATTCCTTTGTTGTAGGTAGGATAAAGGGAGGGGGATTCGGGTAGCAAGTGAGTTCTTCTTCTTCAAGATCATCGCGGTCCCGGGAGCAGCAGAGTCAGCCATCCGAGACGTCCGTGAGACGTACTCCAGCACCGACAGGCTTGCCGCCTCATCCCCTTACAGCAGTCAGTACATCAGGTGGAAGTAAGTACGAGTGAGAAAGGCGTAAGTTTAAGGGTTTTAAATCCAGGATAGAGAGCGGGGCGATCGGTAGGAGAAATTGAATCGAAGACCTCCAAGGGATAGATTAGCGTCCACTGACCCATACCATCACACGTAGATACAATTGGTTACTCGAGGTAAATAAAATTCGCTAGTGGGGGGATAAAACTGTGTTGTGTGGTCTTTTGGGAGTGTGAAGTGGAGGGCAGAGTGTGCTGGGCGTCTACATGTATGCGCGGCTGTGCACCTCGAGACGAAGGGTGTGGTGTTTACACGCCCGCACAATTGTTTACAGTAGCGCGTAGCGCTCGCATACCGGTTCGACGGCGTCGCAATCGCGCACCCGTGCAATTGTGTGCAGTACTGTGCGGCGCGTACGGGCATACGTGGCGACTTTCGGTGGTGCCCAGTGCTCGCGTACCCGTGATATCGCTCACAATAGTGCTTAGCGATCGCGTACCTGGGTGGCTGCGTCACGGTCACGCACCCGCACAAGTGTCTAATCGTGAAGTAGCGAGTTAAAGTGCCGAGCGCGCGCATATTCGCGCGACTGTTTGAGCGGGACCTTTAACTCAGAGCTGAGCGAGCGTCCCCAATCAGCGGCGCGCGCACGGCAGAAACCCCGCCCGCTCATCCCTCGGCTCCAACCCCCTCGCGTGCGATTGGTGTAGGGGCTGGGCAGAGGGTAGGGGCGTGTTTGTTATTGTCGGCACACGTGGAGCGCGGGTGGGAGGGAAACACGCGCAGCGCCTGTTTGTTTACGGGCGGGACGGAGATTTTACTGGCGAGCGCGCTTACAGCGGCACACCGCCTCTGAACGGCAAAGCGCACCGCGGGCGTAAACACAGACCACTGCGTCAATGGAAACATGGTGACGCGGGCAACCGCAAAGGCGGGGGTGCAGGGGGCGGGGAATTGGGGGTCGGTGGCCCGGACCCCACAGAGCAGCCGGGGGGTAGTGGGATGAGTATCACGGGGGAGTCGGTGGGCAACGGCCCCGACAATTCAGTGATGGCGGGGGACGGTAGCCCCCCCAATTGACAACAAGGGTTTTGCCACCAAGTACTAAGTCATGTTTTGCAGAGGGGTCAAATATTTATTTCCCTCATTAAAATGCAAATCAATTTATAACATTTTTGACATGCGTTTTTCTGGATGTTTTTGTTATTCTGTCTCTCTCTGTTCAAATAAACCTACCATTAAAATTATAGACTGATCATTTCTTTGTCAGTGGGCAAACGTACAAAATCAGCAGGGGATCAAATACTTTTTTCCCTCACTGTACGTCGAGAGGTACTCTCGCCACGACGAGAGGAGGGCTTCAGCAGAGCGAGTTGCAAATGAAAGCGGCAACATTTTGTGGACGGGGGGAGTGGGGAGTGGCTCTCGGCGCGGATTAAACAAACAACGAAATATGCACCGCACGCAAAGCACTTGCAGCGAATGCCCGAGTGTCCACACTGAAGCATTAACAAAACAAACACGGGCCAGCGTGACTCAGTCCCATCTGTGGCGACTCCTACGTAAAAATGATATTTTTAAAACGTTTATTAAAAAAGTATCCATATTATCCATAATAGAGGTTATTTTTGGGGGTTAGAGCGCCTAAATATACGTGTAGTTAAACCCACCACCACCCGACAGCCAATTATCAAGGTTGTGTCACGTAAGCAAAACGTGCCAATTCGTTTCGAGTACAGCACACCGGTTGTGTGTTGAACGGTAAACCCACAACATTTACAATTCGAGTATGACGTTTCGCCAGTAATTATAACTAGCATCATTATCAGTGCTTGTGAAGAGTTTCGCCTGCATTAAGTCCGTTGGGCCCGGACCACATTTTGTCTGCTATTCTATCCTTGCGCATGGCATCACGGCATCGTGTTCTGGAGCTAAATGCCACCAAATAAATGTCGACGTCTGCTGTTGGCCACGGCGAGAGGGCTTCAGCAGAGAGAGAGAGTTCATGTCGTTTTGCTGTTCCTCTTACTGTTGAAGGAGCGTAGGGACTACGGTGGTTGACCTGCACGGTCCATTGTCTGGGTTGCATGGCCGCGGTCTCACTATCGTGGCTCGCCTTTAAAGTACATATATATGAGTCTCTATGAGTGTCTGTGGGTTTACTATATGGCCAATAGTTTGGGTTGCATGGCCACAATCGTGCTATGGCTTTTCTTTAGAGTGTGTCTGGGTCTCTTACGCATCTCCTGCGTATCGGTGTATCTCCGTGTATCTCTGCTTGCGTATGGCATATTGTGTGAAGAGAAGCCAGATGCCACTTTCGAGTTCTGCCAGCCACGCCGAGGTGGCTTCAGGAGAGAGAGAGTTCGTGTAGTTTTGCAAGCATTTTAACAAACCAGAACTCGATTTTAAACAGCGCCATTCACAACAAGGCCTCAGCGCGTTGGAGAAAATAACCAAACCCTTTAACGAATAAAAAAAGATAAAATCAATACCCCCCCCCCCCACACAGGCGGCTAATGAAACAAAAACAAACCAGAAATAAACAGCCGACTCTGTGGTGGCACCTGCGATGGCAACCCGCGAGTTGCACAAAGCGAATTACGCAATGACATTCTTTCATAAGCGTGTTATATCACACGATCTACTCTCATGCGCCACGGAACGCAACACCGGTGTCGCTAAACACCGCTCCGTCGGACGAACGCCGACTGGAGAGGTGGTAGCCTCCCCTGCTGCACCCGAACGAGGTCACGACACGAGTCGACGCTTAGATTTCAGCCACGGGCCGGTCGAACCCGAGCCGGGGACACCGCCCGTAAATTTTACGTCAACGATTCTGGAATGTCACCAACCCGCAACACGCGGCTCACGACCACACTGACGTGACTCACTGGCCCCTGGCGTTTGGTACGTAACCTTGCGGCATCTGGCCTCTCAGCTGAGACGTTGGACCTTCATTGACTGGTATCTGGCTAAAGCAGGTTGACGTTAACGCCCACTAACAGCGACGCTGCCGTGGATCGTTGTAAGAGGTTAAAGGTGCAGCCCTGTAAACTTTTTGCTCACGCCACTGGAGGCAGCTTCAGAGAGCCCTTCTAAAGGGGTATTTGGCCGAATATTCTATGCCGGCCAGACGTATTGGAATAGGTAAGAGTACCCACACTTTACTTCACAGCCTGCCGATCGACTGATCATCTATATCTGCTCGGTGGAGAGAGGCCACGGAATAAAAAACAACAACCTGACGCATTGTTTCAATGTGCCGCACAAGGAGATCGAACCGGCGACTTCCGGATTGCCCAATGTGCTCACCATTACTAGCGAGACACGCAGACTCCAAATATACAGCAGGCGTCAGGGTCTGGATCGAACCCACAACCTTCTGTATACCAAGCGAGGTAGTTAACATCTCCTAGCCACCGTGATGATGATGAGAGAGAGAGACACGCAAATTCCAAATATACAACAGGCGTCAGGGTCGGGATCGAACCCACGACCTCCTGTATACCAGGCGAGGTAGTTAACATCTCCTAGCCACCGCGGTGCCCCATACACCACGACAGAATGCTGTGGTTCAAATGTAGCGCTGTAAACTTAATATTGCCCATTATTAAAATTTGAAAGTCATTTTATTTATGTGCTGTCCGGTTTCCTGGGTGAAAAGTGCTGGCGGTGTTACCTCCTTGCGCAGTCCTGTCCCAGCCTGGCTCAAAGACTCAACAAACACAATGAATCACCTTAGATTATGTCTCGGTATGTTTTCGTGGGGTTAAGCCACGTGTAATACCTTAAGATCTGCATTGTAATCGCCACTAAAGAGTACTCAATGTTCTAGAACTAATGAGTAATACTGTACACAGCTGTGTAGCGTTAACTCTGCCGCTGAACTTGACCCTTGACCTGCTGTCACTGCTGCATAATGCAATATTAAATCGGTACAGTATAATTATATAGTAATATACAATTTAACTTAATTTAAAACGTTACGTTTCTATGGGCAAGTGCGCATATTTCATGCTCCTGCGATATTAATGCGCTTCTCTAACCTATTAACAGTATTCAATATCGAATTTAAAACTGCTATGTTTTTTTTTAAAGAGAGAGCGTGTACATTCGTAACAATTGTGGCTCTAACTCAGCCTCGCAACTCCAAAATCGTTTTTTCCCCAAAAACAATTACTCCTTCGAAAACGCGCATAATGGGAACCAAAAGAAAACCGTTTATACCAACCCACGATTAGCATTAAAACGGTTAATAATTGACAGTCCTCCGACCAGCTTGGGTGGCTGATATATAACGCTGTTGAGTCACAGGGCCCCCTGCTCCGATGTTTGCGAATGCCAAGTGCTGGGAGTTTATGCCTTGCGCCGCAGACGCAGGCAAGCACCGGCCCGGATTGCTGGAATAAAGGCAGCAGCAGCATGAGCACCGGCCATAATTTTTGAACCGGTCCACGAAAAAATATAAAATCACCAGGAACCTTAATTTTTTTTTTGCCAGCGATGGCCACTCTGCTTTGGATTTTGACTCTGCACTCCGTCTCCCACGTCGTCGAGGCGCGAGCGGGCGACGGGAAGAGGGTATGGGACACCTTCCTCAACATGTCCTATCCAGATGGGCGGCTTCTGCTGCCCGACGAGGGCTTCCCTCCCGGTTTCATCTGGGCGACCGGGACGTCGGCCTACCAGGTGGAAGGCGCGTGGAGGACCCACGGCAAGGGCCCGTCCGTGTGGGACACCTTCACCCACGCCCGGCACGGCCCGTCGGGCGACGTGACCAGCGACAGTTACCACCACCTGGACAGCGACCTGGAGGCGCTGAGGTTCCTCGGCGTCTCCCACTACCGCTTCTCAGTCGCCTGGACCCGCATCTTCCCGAGCGGCGTGGCGGGGCGGCCCCGCGAGCAAGGCATACGGTTCTACGACGGGCTCATCCGGCGTCTCCTGGCGGCCGGCGTCCAACCCGTGGTCACGCTCTTCCACTGGGACCTCCCGCAGGCGCTGCAGGATGCGGGCGGCTGGCAGAACGACAGCGTCGTCGACGCCTTCGCCGACTACGCCGCCTTCTGCTTCGAGGCGTTCGGAGACCGCGTCAAGCTGTGGATCACGGTGAACAACCCCTACGCGGTGGCGACGCACGGCTACGGCAGCGGGCTGCACGCGCCTGGCGTCTCGGGCTCACACAGAGCCCCCTACCTCGTCGCCCACAACCTCATTAAGGTAACGTGAAGTCCGGTCCTGTGGTGGGAAGAGGGCGTCGGGGGGGTTTGGCTGTGACAACGTTGATGCCGAGCCGGGTGGTTGTGGGGGCTACGTTGCTGCTGCTGCACGTAGCTGCCCGTAATCCAGCATTGGGGAGGCGGCAGCGAGGGTTGGTGGATCATCGCACGGATGGGTTTTGAAACTCCCTTGCCGTGGGCGTCGAGGGAGGTGCCGTACCCTGGGCCCGCCAGGAGAAGGCGGTCGAGCAAGTGTGGACTAATCGCCATCTGTTTCCGTTTGTACGGGGATAGGGCGTGGGGGTTTCTCCCAGTGCTCCGGGGCTACGCTGTGGGCAGCAGAGGGCACTGCAGCAAAACGATTGTCGTACTGTACTATGCTGTAACGTCGATGCTCCCCGCGTTCACCAACCCACGCTGATCAGCGTGGTGAAGTTCTGGTCAAATAATTCCCACAAGCCACATGGAATGGGGAGGCCCTAATCCATCAGCTGATTGACAAAGCACAGTGCATGAATTATTCGTAACGGCTAAGGTAGTTACATTTATACGGCAGTATGATCTAAGGTGTAGATATCTCATTGGAAATCCCATTCGTCGACTTTTTCAGGGTCCACTCAATGCCATTGTCATCGTAATCACCCAGTGCTGGAACGTTGAGCACTCATGAGTGTTGGCCCAATAGTAGTTTGCCATGTTAAGGGAGGACCCCACTATGTGTATAGAGTGGCAATGGGAAATGACTGCCGACCAGCAACCACGATTCTGTTACTTCTCACGGTCTGCGAGCGACGAAGAGAGGGCTCCAGGAGAGAGTTTGTGTAATTTTGATATTCCTCCATTGAAGGAGTGCAGACAACAGTGGTATACTATATGGTCCATAGTTTGGCTTGCATGGCCATAATTAAACTACTGTGGCTTGTTTTTTTTCATAGTATCTCTTTGAGTCGCTATGTATCTCTGAGTGTCTATGTGTTTCTAGCTGTGACTCAATGTATCTCTATGTAGAGTCTCTGTATCTCTGATTCTCTATGTGTATGTGTCTCTATGTGTCTCAATGTATCTCTATGTAGAGTCTCTATGTGTCTCTGAGTTTCTATGTATCTCAATATATCTCTTATACATCTCATTGGATTTATTATTTGGTCCATAGTTTTGGTTGCATGGCCAAAATGGCACCACTTTGGCTTGTGTTTTTAATGTTCCATTTATGAAGGAGATGTTCCCATCAGCTTATCGAAGTTGTGATGCGGTTAATGGTTACACCAGTGGTGAGTGGGTGAGTGAATTGGTGAGTTGATGGTTACACCAGTGTCTTGGAGGAGAAATGTCAAAGCCAGGTGTGATGTCTGGGTCTCGAATGAGGTGTTCGTTCTGGACGTCCGCGTTGTCTCTTAGCATGGGGTGGCTTTGTCTTATCGTGCGTGAAGTTTTCTTGGCGTCTTTGCACGTGTGAAGCCTGCGGTGTGACCTGGCTTGGTGATAATATATTGAAAATAAGCAATTGTAGGCATATCATCCCCGTGGAAGTCCACAGTTTGTAAGTATGACGCAGTGCAGCATTGTGCCAATTAAAATTGTATTCACAAAATGCAATGTTTACAACACTGGGCACACAAGCTCCTTCAATGACAAGCCACTTGCAAAGGCAGTGCATGCATAAACAACCGTGCTAACCTCCGATTAGCGCGGATGCCTATGTACGGTGCGAAAGCCATTCCGATGGGTTGAGTAACCGCTTAATATTCGGATTATATTGTCAGTTTGATCACTCGAATAATACAAAATAGTTGGGGGGGGGGGGGAGGTCTTACCTCTGTTTCCACGTGTGCCGCTGGGCGGGAGGTGACGGGCGGGGTTTGGTGACGGCATCGTCGCGTATAGTGTCACCCTGGGCGTGGCTTGTCGGGGGTTTCCCGCCTTCGGGAGGGAGGCTGTGGGGGCGGCCGCTATGTTAAGTCGATTACAGTCTCCATCCAGTGATCGACCACGCGTCCCAGCTCGCGGCGCGTGACTTGTTAAGTCAATGCCACTGGTATCAATCCTCTTTGGACAAATATGATCTTGAATACCCCGCAATCCTGATTAATTACCCTACCGATGAAGTTAGTTATTTAGTCACAGTCGTCTGCCGGCGCTGCCAAAAGAGCGCAAATTAAACTTGTTCCGAAGCATGCACCACTCTTTAAAATGTATTCTTTTTACAGCCCCTTTATAAGTACAGCCCCTTTGTCAATCCGCTGCTGGATGGAGGCTCCTTCCCACCCATGCTGTGTCGATCATGGGGGGAGGGGATTGCTTGACCATACTTCCCCACACTGGTCAGTACGGGTTAGTGGGGGAGGGGTAGCCCAGCACAGGTTCAGATGTCACGCACGAGGCTGCAGTTTGCCATGGCCAGGAATTCAACTCGGGATGTTGGGGTTCATAGCGCAGCGCAAAACCACTCCCACCACCACGCTTCATTAGACCACCAACGTGTAACAAAGATTCTGTTTCCCACTGCCACCATTGCCACGTTCGGTCGAACAGTCGACCAAACGAGGCTCTCTAAATCACTGCATTTTGTTTGTTTAATCGCTTTACATTCTCCTGCCAGCCGAAAAATACGCGAACGCACGTGGTTGTGCGCCTGGAGGCCTCTCGGCTCCTGCCACTGCTCCGGTGCCCTGGGCGCGGAAAATTTACCCACACGGCCGGCAGCTGAGCGGCACCTGCGTGGAGACCCATTATGATTGATCACCTTGTTCTGCACCTTCGATTTTCTTTTTTTTGTCAGATCGGCGAAACAGAAAGCATTTTTGTTTTGGTGCGAGTTCCACCGTCGTGACGTTACGCTGCACTTGCATCGCGGTCGGACGGTTCCATTCGATCTCACCGGTGCGGCGTGTTGATAAAGAACGATGCACGTTTCTAAACTCACCCCTCTTCCCTCCACCCCTACCACCTCTGGTCCACCCAGTACCGGATTAAGCTAGGTGTGGGGCCTGTACAGCATATGCTATGAAGGGGGCCCGAAAAAAAACACAATTTTTAAACACAAATGTTTTAAATTTTGATTTTAAGCTTTCGTGACTGCAGGGATTCATATTCTTGGTTCTTTCGGTAAAGTCACGTAGAAGGGAAACAATAAAATCATAAAAATGTTTTACTTGCATAGTAATTGTATTTTTTTGTATTTGCCATACAGACAAATAATACTACAAATCGCTAACCTTAAACAAACACCCAGTCATATTCTTGGTTCTTTCGGTAAAGTCACGCAGAAGGGAAACAATAAAATAATAAAAATATAAAACAATAAAATTCTCACGACGTTTCGACTGCAACACAAGCAATCATCATCAGGTGTGAAAATCACAAAAATAAAATTTGAAAAAAGTGGCGTTTTTTTAACGTTAGCACCACTGATTGCAGTCGAAACGTCGTGAGAATTGTATTGTTTTATATTTTTATTATTTATTTGTTTCCCTTCTACGTGACTTTACCGAAAGAACCAAGAATATGAATCCCTTCAGTCACGAAAGCTTTAAATAAAAATAAAACACCCAGTCGTTCGTAAAAGTTGAAGGCAGTATCGTACTATAGTAATAGAGCAAGTGCAGAATCACTGAACCGGAATTTGATAGCTTGAAAGCATTTAGCGCGGGGCCCTTGAGAAAGTGCGGAGCAGTTGCGTGAGCGAACGATTGCAGGGCTACGCCTGCATCTTTTTACACAAACTTGCTCAAACATAACCATGAATACAACATTGGTTACAATGTAGTTTATTGCAGGCAATATTTACAAGACAGCTTTCCCCCCTCGCTCTATGGGGTTGTAGTGATAGGTTCGTTCCAAGGATAGGGTGCACAAAGCGAAGCCGCACTAGGAGACAGCTGCCTACCGAGTAGCGCACACAGTACACACAGTACACACACAGTACACACGTGACACACGGTACACACACACACAGTACACACACAGTACACACACAGTACACACACACACAGTACACACACAGTACACACACACAGTACACACGTGACACACGGTACACACACACACAGTACACACAGTACACATACAGTACACACAGTACACACGTGACACACGGTATACACAGTACACACACACAGTACACACACAGTACACACAGTACACACACAGTACACACACACACAGTACACACGTGACACACGGTACACACACACACAGTACACACACAGTACACACACACACACAGAACACACGTGACACACGGTACACACAGTACAAACAGTACACACAGTGCACACACAGTACACACGTGACACACGGTACACACAGTACACACACACAGTACACACACAATACACACAGTACACACACAGTACACACACACAGTACACACACAGTACACACACACAGTACACACGTGACACACGGTACACACACACACAGTACACACACAGTACACACACACAGTACACACACAGTACACACACAGTACACACGTGACACACGGTACACACACACAGTACACACACAGTACACACACACAAACAGTACACACACACAAACAGTACACACGTGACTCACGGTACACACAGTACACACACACACAAACAGTACACACGTGACACACGGTACACACACAGTACACACACAGTACACACACACACACAAACAGTACACACACAGTACACACGTGACACACAGTACACACACACACACAAACAGTACACACAGTACACACGTGACACACAGTACACACATACACAAAGAGTACACACGTGACACACGGTACACACACACACAGTACACACACACAGTACACACACAGTACACACACACACAGTACATACACAGTACACACACACACACATAGTACACACACAGTACACACGTGACACACGGTATACACACACAGTACACACACACAGTACACACACACAGTACACACGTGACACACGGTATATATACACACACACAGTACACACATACAGTACACACACAGTACACACACACAGTACACACAAA